GCCTCGGGATGACACCAAAAAAATTCTCTGGGAATTCAGGATTTTTTTGCCCAAAAAATGCCCCAAAAATCCAAATTTTTTACTTTTTTCGGCAAAAATTCCGTGGTTTTTTGGAAGTTTTTCCCAAATTTTGCGTCGATTTTTCCGCGCGCGGATCCCTCCCCGCCCTCCTCGCGTCGCGATGACGACGAAAAAATTCTCAGCAATTCTGGATTTTTTTTGGCCCAAAAAAAGAACAAAAAATGCCCCAAAAATCCAAATTTTTTTCCTTTTTTTGGCAAAAATTCTGGGGTTTTTTGGGAGTTTTTTTGGGGTTTTTTTGGGTTTTTTTCCCAAACTTTGCGTCGATTTTTCCGCGCGCGGATCCCTCCCCGCCCTCCTCGCGTCGCGATGCGTCGGCTCCGGGGTAAAATGAGGATTTGAGAGGGTGAAGAGCAAAGAGAAATTTTTTTTGTGTGTTTTTGGAGGTTTTTGGTGGTTTTTGGAGGTTTTTTTTTTTGTTTTTTGGAGGTTTTTTGGAGATTTTGGAGGTTTTTCGAGTCGGAAGCGCTTTGGGGTCCGGCAGAGAGGACGGAGCAGGAGCTGGAATTTAATTTTGCCTGTGCCGGGCTGGGAAGCGGTGCCGGAACGCTACAAAAAAATACAAAAAGAAAATGGGGAAAAGAAAGGGGAAAAAAGGAAAAAAAAAAGGAAATTTTGGGAGGGAAAAAAGAAAAAAAAAGGAAATTTTGGGAGGGAAAAAAAGGAAAAAAAAGGAAATTTTGGGAGGGGAAAAAGGGGAAAAAAAAGGAAATTTTGGGAGGGGAAAAAGGGAAAAAAAAGGAAATTTTGGAAGGGGAAAAAGGGAAAAAAAAGGAAATTTTGGGAGGGAAAACGATTGGGATGGAGGGAGGGAAAAATGAGAAAAAAAGGAAATTTTGGGAGGGGAGAAAAGGAAAAAAAAATAAATTTTGGGGGCAAAAAAGGAAAAAAAATGGAATTTTGGAAGGGATAAATGAAAAAAAAAAGGAAATTTTGGGAGGGGGGAAAAAGGAAGAAAAAGGAAATTTTGGGAGGGAAAAAAGGGAAAAAAAAGAAATTTTGGGAGAGAAAAATGAAAGAAAAGGGAATTTTGGGAGGGGAAAAAGGAAATTTTGGGAGGGAAAAAGATTGGGATGGAGGGTGGGAAAAAGGAAAAAAAAGGAAATTTTGGGAGGGAAAAAGGAAAAAAAAAGAAATTTTGGGAGGGAAAAATGAGGAAACGTGGAATTTTGGGAAGTAAAAATGAAAAAAAAATGGAATTTTGGGAGGGAAAAAAGGAAAAAAAGGAAATTTTGGGAGGGAAAAATGAAAAAAATGGAATTTTGGGAGGGAAAAAAATGGAATTTTGGGAGGGAAAAAAGGAAAAAAAGGAAATTTTGGGAGGGAAAAATAAAATGGAATTTTGGGAGGGAAAAAGGAAAATAAAAGAAATTTTAGGAGGGAAAAAGATTGGGATGGAGGGAGGGAAAAATGAAAAAAAAAGGGAAATTTTGGGAGGGAAAAATGAAAAAAAAGGAAATTTTGGGAGGGAAAAATGAAACAAAAAAAAGAAATTAAATAGAAAAAATAAAGGGGAAAAGGGAATAAAAACGAGGAATGGAAAGGGAAAATTTTTTAAAAAATGAAATAAAATGGAAAAATGAGAGGGGAAAAATTAAAGTAAAATTAAATTAAATAGAGGAAAGAAATGGAATAAAAAGGAAATAAAATGAAGGAATGAAAGGGGAAAAATGAAAATAAAATGAAATTAAATAGAGGGAAAAAAGGGAATAAAAAGGAGGAAGAAAAGGGAAAAAAAATTTTAAAAAATGAAATAAAATAGAAAAAAAAGGGGGGAAAATGGGAATAAAATGGAGGAAGGAAAGGGGAAAAATTAAGAAATATAGGAAATAAAATGAAGGAATAAAAGGGAAAAAATTAAAAAACCCAAGAGGAAATAAAGAAAAGAAAGGGAAAAAAAATAGGAAGAAAAATTGAGGGATGAAATGGAAAAAATAAAAATAAATCCAAAGTAAAATAGAGGAAAATGGGGAAAATTTAAAAGAATAAAAAATAAATGAGAGGAAAGAGAAGGGGGAAAAAATAGGAAATAAAATAGAGAAAAGAGGGGGGAAAATGAAAAGAAATAGAAAATAAAAGGGAGGAAAGAAAGCGAAAAATAATAAAATGCAAAATAAAAGTGGAGAAAAATGGGGAAAAAATGGGGGGAAAAAGGAAATAAAGAGGAAAAAATTTTAAAAAATTTAAAGAAAGGCAAAATAAAGAGGAAAAAAATTTAAAAAAAGGGGGAAAAAGGGGGAAAGAAAAAGGGGAAAAATAGGAAATAAAATAGAGAAAAGAGGGGGGAAAATGAAAAGAAATAGAAAATAAAAGGGAGGAAAGAAAGGGAAAAAATATAAAAAAATACAAAATAAAATGGAGAAAAATGGGGAAAAAATGGGGAAAAAAAGGAAATAAAGAGGAAAAAAATTTAAAAAAATAAAAAAAGGGGAAATAAAGAGGGAAAAAAAATTTAAAAAAGGGGGGAAAATGGGGAAAAAAAGGAAATAAAGAGGAAAAAAATTAAAAAAGGGAAATAAAGAGGAAAAAAAAATTTAAAAAATTTTAAAAAGGGGAAATAAAGAGAAAAAAGTTTTAAAAAAGGGGAAAAAAGGGGGGAAAAAAGGGGAAATAAAGAGGGGGAAAAAATTAAGAAAAGGGGGGAAAATGGGGAAAAAAGAAAATAAAGAGGAAAACAATTTTAAAAAATTTAAAGAAAGGGAAATAAAGAGGAAAAAAAATTTAAAAAGGGGGGGAAAAGGGAAATAAAGAGGAAAAAAAATATTTAAAAAGGGGGGAAAAAAGGGAAATAAAGAGGAAAAAAAATATTTAAAAAGGGGGAAAAAAAAGGGGAAATAAAGAGGGGAAAAAAAATTGTTTAAAAAAGAAGGAAAAAGCAAAACCAGCTGAGCCGAGAGCGGAGGGAGAGGGAATCTCGATCCCAGGAATCGGGACGGAGGCGAATCCCGGAATTTTGGGAGACGCCACCCGGGGAGGGGCGAAAAAAAAAGGGAAAAAAAATAATAAAAAATAAAGGAAAAATGGGAAAATCCTCCCAAATTTGGAATTTTTTGGGGGGACCCAGGGGGGTCTCGGCGGCTCCCACGGCCCGGCCCGGAGGAGGGGACGCGGAATTCCGGAATTCCCGAATTTCCTTGGGAATGGCGGAGAGTTCTGGGCAGGAATCGGTCGATTTCTCAATGGAGAAATTCATTATTTCAAATGTTTAATCCAGATTTCTTTTATATTTCATTTTATTTTTAATTTAATTCACGGTTAAAGCTGATTTTTAATATTTTATTTCCTTTTATTTTAAATATTTTCGCTCTTTTTTTTCACCTTTTAAATAATTTTTGATCCCTCTTTTATTTCTTTTAAATAATTCCCATGAATTCTTTATTCCTTTAAAATATTTTTATTTCTTCAGAATATTTTTCAGATCTATTTTTTTTTTTAATTCCTTTTAAATATCTTGGAAATTTAATCTTTATTCCTTTAAAATGTTTCTGAAAATTCTTTATTCCTTCTAAAATATTTTGGGGGGGATTTCTCTTTTATTTCTTTATAATATTTTTAAATTTTATTCTTTATTTTAAATACTTTTCAACTCAGTTTTTTATTTTTTTAAAATATTTTCCCTTCGTCCTTTTGAAATTATTCACTTTTAACTTTAACATTTTTGTTCCTTTTCCCTTTTATTTCATTTTTATTTCATTTTAATTTTTAAAGTTTAAATCTCCTTTTTTTAAAAACCCTTTTTGGTTTGATTTAAAACAAAAAACTCGATTTCTTTAAAGACTTTTCCCGGATTTCTTTGGAATTTTGATTGGGTTTTTCCCGCTTTTTTTTTTTTTTGTTTTATTTGGGGGGAACCGACCCGTGCTGGACGTGGAGCGGCGACCCCTCGGTCCCTCCTCGCTGGCCGGGGGGTGACCTTGAGGTGACCCCGAGGTGGCCACGGGGTGACCCCAAAGTGACCTCAGGGTGACCCTAAAATGACCTTGAGGGTGATCCTGAGGTGACCCCAAGGTGACCTCAAAAGTGATCCCGAGGTGACCCCAAAGTGACCCCAGGGTGACCCCAAAGTGACCCTGAGGTGACCTCAAAGTGACCCTGAGGTGACCCCAGGGTGACCCTAAAATGACCTTGAGGGTGACCCCAAGATGACCTCGAGGTGACCCCAAGGTGACCTCAAAGGTGACCCCGAGGTGGCCACGAGGTGATCCCAAACTGACCCCAAGGGTGACACCAAAGTGACCCCGAAGTGACCCCGAGGTGACCCCAGGGTGACCCTAAAATTACCTTGAGGGTGACCCCAAGGTGACCCCAGGGTGAACCCGAGGTGACTCCAAAGGTGACCCAAAGGTGACCTCGAAGGTGACTCCGAAGTGGACCCTGAGGTGACCCCAAGGTGACCCTGAGGGCAACCTTGAGGTGGCCCCAAGGTGACCCCAAGGGTGACCTAGGAGGTGACCCCAAGGGTGACACCAAAGGTGACCCCAAGGGTGACCCTGAGGATGACCATGAGTGATGACCCCAAGGTGACCTCGAGGTGACCCCCAAGGTGACCTCGAAGATTACTCCAAAGGTGACCTCGAAGGGTGACCCTGAAGGTGACCCCGAGGGTGACCCCAAGGGTGACCCTGAGGTGTCCCCAAGGTGACCCCAAGGGTGACCACAACGTGACCTTGCAAAGTGGACCCTGAGGTGACCCCAAGGGTGACCTCAAGGATGACCCCAAGGATGACCTCAAAGATGTCCCCACGGGTGACCCCCAAGGCTCCCTCGCCGTCCCTTCCCGCGTGGCCCCCGCGTCCCTCCCCGGCCTCGGCGCTGCCGTTCCCGCGCCGTTCCCGCGCGGTTCCTCTCGGTGATGGCCCCCGTGTGGGATGGCACCCATGGGATGTGGCGGGCGGGGTGGAGGGTGGCTCAGATCCCGCTCAGATCTCGTTGTTCCGGCCGGCGCCGCCCGGGCCGTACTCACTGGAGCGCGGCGCCATGCCCAGGTACTGCTTCAGGAACTCGCTAAACCTCTTCTGGTTGTTCCACTTCCGCGCCGACTTGCGCACCCCGATGAAGCCCCCGTACCGCTTCTGCACCCCCTTGGCCGCCCGGCCCGCTCCCAGCCGCCGGGAAATGTCCTCCCGCTCTTCCTCCTCCTCCTCCTCCCGGCGAGGCTGCGGGAAGGCGCCCGGCGCGGCCCTCTCGGCGTCCGGGCGGCGCGGCCGCGGGGCGGCTCGGCCGGCGGTGGCCGCGCACAGCTCCCAGGTGGCCCTGGGCACCGCTTGGCCTTCGCACTCCAGGATGCAGATCTGCGAGGGAAAGGCGGACGGACGTCAGGGGATCGGTGGGGTCGGATCTCCGGGAGATCTCTGATGGCTTCCCAGACCATCCCGACCCATCCCGGTCCATCCCGACCCATCCCAGACCATCCCGGTCCATCCCAGACCATCCCAACCCATGGGGAGGTGCCAGCAGCTCGTGGTGAGCGTTCCCCGGCCTCGCCCCGGAGGTGTCACCTCCCAAACCTGGTCACCCAGAGGGGCTGAAGGTGCTGGGGACGCTCAGCGTGGCTCTCCGGCCTTGCCCAGACTGGATTTGCTAATCCCTGCCCACATTCCTGTTTTCCCGTGGAATTCCAAGCTCCCGCTCCAACATTTCCAGCTCTGCTGGGCCCTTCAAGCCAGAAATCATCCGGTGGAGCTGGGAGGGGATGGTGGAGCTGGGATGGGATGGTGGAGCTCAGAGGGGATGGTGGAGCTGGGACAGGATGGTGGAGCTGGGATGGGAAGGGACGGTGGAGCTGGGACCGGACAGTGGAGGTGGGACGGGACCGTGGAGGTGGGACGGGACCGTGGAGGTGGGACGGGACCGGGGGGGGGGGACGGG